TTGCATACTCTATTAGTTTTCATTTATAATTCAAATATAACTGTACGCAACTGTTTGAGTGTTACAAAACAGGGGCTTTCCTATGTATTAACAAAGATTATTTGAATACCGAACAGAAAGGTTAAAGTTACAATGTGGAGTTTTAGCAAGTAGTGGGAGGAATGGTTGAAAGAACTCCTTCCACATAGAAATGTTTACAATTCTATTCAGAGATAGTAGGAACTGCTAATGCTGGAGTCTGAGATGACAAGGTATAGAGCTGGATGAACACAACAGGCCAGGCAGCATCAGAGGAGCAGGAAAGCCGACGTTTCGGGTCTGGACCCTTCTACTGTTTTGATAACAAGCTACTTACAAAAGAACATCTTTTGTAAGGCTTGGAGTTATTGAATTACTGAATTTTATGAACATGCCTACCTTGTACAGCAGACATCCACCAAGTAATTATCAAGAATAACCTGCTGAGAGGCATCATTACACGCTTAGACTGTTGACGGTCCATCCTGACTGTTTTCAAAGTGCTGCTTTCAATGCAAATTTTGCTTCAAAGAAACGTTGTATCCACTGAAACAATGCACACAGCACTGTGCTCTTTCTTGTTGCCTGAACCAGAAGGTGGCATGAAGGACAATATTTTGCTGCAAGCAGGAAGTGGCTTTTTCAAAAAAGACCCACCAATAAAACAATGTAATTTATCATCAGTTGCTGACAATGAGAATATGACCTTTCCACATCCCCAGTTTTCCATTTAAATTTTAACAACTTAACATCCTCAGAAAGAGGTAATTTTTCTAAATCTTTTTGATCATCTTACTTACAAAATTCTTCTCCTATTCATCTGGAACCAAAGTAAGCTATTTAAAATATTTACCAGGGTTGCATTTATTGAAACCATGCTTAGATATTGTGCTTTAATAGCATAGCTGTGAAATTACTAATTAAGGATTGCACATATAAAGCACCTCTCAAGTCCCAAAATACTTCACAATTAAAGAAGTAGTTTAGAAGCATGTTTGCTGTTGCAATACAAAGTCCCCTCTGGGCTCATTCTCTAAATCCCTCAATTGAGGAGGAATTAGGTGAGGTCTGTGGCCATAAATTTAAATTTTCTTTTGCTATAAAAGATGCACTCATGAACTTTTTAATGATTGACAATGGAGAAGCCATCTGTGCAGCAGGATGACTCGTACTGATACAGAATAAACTAAGGACCAGGAAATCAAAGATTTATATCACCAGATCTGAGTCTGAAACATGTCGTGCTGAATTCTCTGTGTTTTTTACATTAGTGCAGTGTATTCATTAACACTGTACACAGATAGCAGCGAGACAAGGATAGGCACAACTTTTTTTTGCATTAAATGGACAGTAAAGGAATAACACACGCTTTATTATCCAGGACCCAACTCACAAAAGCTAAATTGTAGAATTTGTCAATACTGCACTGTATTTTCTTAAAATGATGACTCATAGATCATAGAAACTGACCCTTCAGTCTAACACGTCCGTGTTGACTAGACATCCCAATCTGAACTAGTCTCATTTGGCAAAATTTGACCCATATCCCTTCCGATTCACATACCCATAAGGTTGCCTTTTAAATGTTGCAATTGTACTCACCTCCACCACTTCCTCTGACAGCTTGTTCCAAAAACACACCACCCTCTGTGTAAAAAAAGTTACACCGCACAAGTCCTTTTCAAATCTTTCCCCTCTCACCTTAAACCTGTGCCCTTGATTTGGACTCCCTACCCTAGGAAAAAGACTTGGTTACTCACCCTATCCATGTCCCTCATGACTAGATTGAGAATTGGGATGGATATCTGTTCTCCAAATAGTAATCGTGATTCTCTCACTTTCTATGTCGGAATTATTTGTGAAGAAACAATTATCTGCCACACATCACACGTATCTGTGTAATTCTGACAGGCCTAACCCAATAAAGGTTCCCCAATTACCTTGATCAGAGGCAGGTAAATAAAGTTGAGCTACAGAGCAGATGTGATCTTACGGAATGACAGTGCAGACTCAGGCTGAATTATTTACTCCTGCTTCTTTATAATTAGTAAGGATTGAAGCTGGACCCCTCCCATTAGGTTTGATCCCATCTCATTACAGTTCTTTAATTCATTGAGTACCTACTATAATGTTTTTAAAATAGCGTCACCAGAACCAAGGGTTATTTTGAGATCATAACATTTTGATGATTTCAATTTACAGGTTCATCGCTTCAACTGTACATTAAAGCATTTTATGTAAAGATGACATATCTTCTGGAGTGCAGGATAAAGGACCTTGGAGACTTAACATTTGCAGAGCATGCCACAAAGAAAGGTTTTACAACCATTGCAATCAATCTTCTATTGATATTACTCATGTCGAAGGAACAGTCTGTCCTCAGCACATAATTTAGCATTCCCAACACAGTACTAAAGGAGCGTTGCATTATCAGGACATTTCAAACTAACATGCTATGAGCATTAGAGATAGTAGGAACTGCAGATGCTGGAGAATCCGAGACAACAAGGTGCAGGGCTGGATGAACACAGCAGGCCAAGCAACATCATAGGAGCAGAAAGGCTGACGTTTCGGGCCTAGACCCTTCATCAGAAAAGGGGGAAGGGAAGGGGGTTCTGAAATAAATAGGGAGAGAGTGGGAGGCGGATGGAAGATGGATAGTGGAGAGGATAGGTGGAGAGGAAACAAACAGGTCGAAGAGGCGGGGATGGAGCCAATAAAGGTGAGTGTAGGTGGGGAGTTAGGGAGGGGATAGGTCAGTCCAGGGAGGACGGACAGGTCAAGGGGCTATCAGCATTCCTCAGTGGACACCAACCACAAGACACTATGTGAACAGGCACATGGACTTTTCCAGGCACTCTAGGCAAACATGATCACAAAAATTACTAACTGGTCATGAAGTTCAGCACTGCTTCCGAGATATTGTTCATAGAACAAATGCTTTGGTCATTTGTACAAGGTACTGGCAAAAGCAATTCAGAATTGTGATATTACAAAATGCTTTGGAAATTATTTTAATTATTTCTCACATTTTCAAGCAAATTATTTCGTTCCCCTGCATATTTCACATTTCCCTCTTTGCATGCTAATTTGGTCAACTTTTGCTCCTTTATATGCTTTCAGTTGTATTTTGAGTCATTCTTTATGTATTTGGATAACCCTCCATACAAGTAATCCAACAGTGATTCTGCCTACCCTTACGAGATGAATTTAAGATGCTTTCAAAAAAAAATTCACCTCTAGGATGTCAGCATCATTTGCTAGGCCAGCATTTGATGCTCATCCCTAGTTGCCCTCAAGGTCACGGCACTTCAGTCCACATGCTTGAAGTAGATCCCAGAATGCCATTTGGGACAAAGTTCCAGGACCAAAAATGAGTTAACCCTAACCCAATGACACTAAAAGAGCAGCCATATATTTTCAAGTCAGGATGGTGTATGGCTTGGAGGGGAACTTGCAGGTGTTGGTGTTTCCATGCATTTACTGTCTCGGTCCTTCTAGATGGAAGTGGTCATGAGTTTGGAAGGTGCTGCTTAAAAAGCCTAGATGAATTTCTGCAGTGTGTCTTTACAGTCCTTCACCTGACAAAAGAGCAATGCTCCAAAAGCTTGCAATTTCAAATAAACCTGTTGGACTATAACCTGGTTTCAGGTGACTGCTGACCTTGGAGACTGCAGTAAACACCAGCACCTCCCCATCAGCTTTACACAGCACAAAATGTTATTACCAAGCACCAATGAAGGCAGTGGATGTGTGTAAGATGCAGTACCTAGTAAGTGGGCTACATGAATAGAGGTCAAACTCTTTGCATATTGTAGCTACATTCATCCAGGCAAGTGAGGGAGGTGTACTCCTGACTTGTGCTCTGTAGGTGGTGGACAGACTTTTTGAGAAGTCAGAGGGTAGTTACTTGCTGCATGATTCCTGATCTCTGCTGTAGCCAGTGTATTTATACAGAGTCCAGTTGAGTTTCTGGCCAATGGTAACCCCAAGAGGTGGATAGTGGGGACTCAGTGATGGCGTGGACTCCGTGATGGTGACACTACTGAATGTCAAGGGACAATGGCTAGGTTCTCTTTTAGAGAAAATCATTGCAGTGTATTTGGTTATTGCAAATGGTACTTGACACTTTTCGGCCCAAGCTTGGAAAATTGTCCAGGTCTTTCCGCATTTAAACATGGACTGCTTCAGTAGATAAAGAGTCACGAATGGTGCTGAACATTGTGCAAGCATCAGCAAGAATCCTCCACTTCTGACCTTATGATGGGGGAGGGGATGGGGGCAAAGAGGAGTTCTTTGATGAAGTAGCTGAAGATGGTTGGGGCTAGGATACTGTTGTGAGGAACTCCTGCAGAAATGGTGTAGAGTAGAGATAACTGACCAACAACCCCATCGATTTTCCTTTGTGCTAGATACTACTCCCAAACAGCTGACATCTTTCTCTATTCCCACTGACTCCAGCTTTGCTGGAGCTCCTTGATGCTACACACCGTCAAATGCAATCTTGATGTCAAGGGCAGTCACTGTCATCCGAGCTCTGTAAGTCAGCTGTTTTCACTATGTTTGAACCAGAATGTAATGAAGTCTGTATATTTTCCTGAGTGCTAATGGCATAGGATTATTTAAGAAATTAATTCCACAGAATCCAGGGGTCACATGAAGCCCAGCAAATTTAGAAATAACAACAGAATCCAAAGATGTGTGGGGAGGAATTGTGTATTTTTCCCCTATAAGCAAGGGAGACAAATAAAGCTTGTATGGCCCTTTTAATGTTTCACAACAAACTTATTCTCCTGGAATCAAATGGACTGACTGACTGACTGACTGCTAGCTGACATCAGAAATGACGCAATACACCAAATTCAAATGCATTTACCTGACTGTATGGTGAATTAGGGGATGAAAAAGAACCTGATGCAAGAGGTTTAAAACTAAAGGAGTGAGGATGAGGTGGGTTTTTTTTTGAAAAAGCAAGCCAACAGAAGGTTTTACATTTTTATTGGTTTATCGACACAAAAGATAACAGCAGCTTGTCATTATTTCTTTTTAACCTCCAAGAGGGAATGTTGATAAGTAAATAATTTTAAACACATTGTTCAAAATCCTAGAATCAACACACAGGATTCTATGAGAACTCTACATGCTAGATTGACAGTTTTGACCATCAAACAAAACACCACTTTTTTTTGGAATAAACATTTAATTAAGACAAATTTAAAGTAAATGTTCAGTCTCTGACTGAGACTGGCAGATTACTTTGGGTTCACAGCTGCTTACACAGCATCACTACAATTCAATTCTTCAGGAATGCAGTATCAATTTGAAATACACAAACCAGTTCAATACACTCTAGGAGTCTGGATATTTGAACGGCTGCTGGTCTCAGTAACCAGTATAATACACATGGTTGCATAATGAGATTGTGATGAAACAGTATGTGGAGTAGTGGCCAAAAGAAAACAAAAAACCTTGAACACGAGATTAAGATGTTTAACTGCAAATGACTGTGAAGATAAATAATTCACATGCCTTGTGTTACGTAGCTCATGCTTTCAGGGAAAACATAATACAGTTCTAGTGTGATTTACAACAGCTCAGCACTTCTCTGTCAATGTCTGCTTCAATTCATCAAGAAGATTTCCAAGAAGGGAGGAATCGCTGCATTTCCCATCCACAGAGACAGAGCTATCACCCTGTTTAAAATAAAATTGTAATGCTTCAAATGAACACATCAATTCACATCTGAGAAGATAAAATCTCACTTGAAAGCAATTTATCTGCAATATTTCAGTTTGAAAAACACTTGATAAAATCTTGAGCTTCCCCAACTAAGTCAGCAAATTCAGACCCCAGAGTGACTCTGAGGTAAAGAGTATGCTTTATTGTTTGGCTGTGCGAGGACAATTATAGGGCACCACAATCAGTCCAGGCACTGCTGAATGTGTTTGTTTAGCTGTAGTGCCTTCTGTAACCGGAATTCCTAAAATTCAGTTATCTAGTCCTGTGAGAAATCTCATGTGGCACGCTGACATTTTTATTTGACATTAGTAAGATTCAATTGAGGGGATTGAATCAAAGAAACTAAAACAGTGGGAACAGGGCCTCTAATTTGTAAACTTATTGCTTCTCTTTACAGGATAGCAGTCATGATCAGGATATCCAACATAGCTGGTCTCTTGTACAGGTTTCGAGCAACACAATGACATTTGAGATAACTGGATAAACAAATCAATTGCAATGGGACCGTTAAAAGAGTACTTCCAAAGAATTACACAAACTTAAATTCTGATTTGAAACGAATACTTCAGAATTCCAAAACAACAGAATGCTGGTGCCACATTATTTACAATACACATTAATGACTTGAATGATGGAAGTGAAAGTACTACAGCCAAGTTTGTGGACAATAAAAATAGCTGGGAAGTCAAGTAATGAGGATGACACAATCAGTCTACAGAGAAATATAGAGATAACAAGGTGTACAGCTGGATGAACAGCAGGCCAAGCAGCATCAGAGGAGCAGGAAGGCTGACGTTTCGGGCCTAGACCCTTCTTCAGAAAAAAAGGGTCTGAAGAAGGGTCTAGGTCCAAAACATCAGCCTTCCTGCTCCTCGGATGCTGCTTGGCCTGCAGTGTTCATCCAGCTTTCCACCTGGTTATCGCAGATTCTCCAGCATCTGCAGTTTCTACTATCTCTCTACAGAGAAATATAGACAGGTTGAATGAGTGGGCTAAACTTAGCAGATGAAATAAGTAGGATGATACAAGATTATGCAATTTGACTGAAAAATAGAAGAGCTGAATATTATTTAAAATGGGGAAAGACTGTAGAAATGTACAGCACAGAGAAATTTGGAAGTCCTTGTACGTGAATCACAAAAAGCTAAACTCCAGGTTCACTAACTAATAGGATGGCAAATTGATTGCTGGGCTTTATTTCAAAGGAAATGGAGTGTTAAAAGTAGGGACATTTTGCCAAAACTATATACAACACTAGTCAGACCACGCTGTGAATAGTTTTGGTCTCCTGATGCAAGGAAAAATATACTGACATTGAAGGCAGTCCAGAGAAGGCTCACTACACTGAGCTCAGGAATAGAAGGATTTTCTTCAGAAGGTGGGATTGTATTGAGTTTACAGGCTTTGACAGAGTAGATGCTAAGGTTGCTTCACCTTCTGGGGAGAATCTAGTACCAGAGGGCATAATCTCAGTAAAGGGAAGCCCATTTAAGACAGAAACAAGGAGATTTTTCTCTTAGAATGTGATCAAATCTGTGGAATTATTTACGACAGATGGCTGTTGAGTGGGTCATTAGGAAAATTCAAGGCTGAGGTAGACAGATTTTTATCAACAAGGGAATCATGGGTTTATGGGCACAAGGCAGCTATAATCTCAATGAACTACAGAGAAGGCTTGATGAGCTGAATGACCGACATCTGTTCCTACAACATATGGTCTATGGGTTCCTTAAGAAAGAAAACAAAAACTGCACACACAAGTTGTGGCCTTACCAATGCCTTGAGTAAGAATATTATTTTTCACTTGCACATGCTCAATTTCTTTCGTAATAAAGGATAGCATCCTATCAACCTTCTTGATTATGTGTTGTGCCTGCATACCAACCTTTTGGACTTGTGCACCGGTACAACTAAATCCTTCTGCACACTGGATTCCCTCGGTTTTTCTCCATTTAGATAACACTACTTTTCATTCTTACTGCTCAAGTGAACAATGTCACACTTTCTCATACTATATTCTATCTGCCAAATTTACACCCATTCACCCAAACTTCCATTTTGCAAACCCCTATGCCTGCTTCATAATGTATGTTACTACCTGCGTAGTAGGTTTGCAAGTTTAGCTAGCATTCTTTCATTCCCCTCACCTAAGTCATTGATGTTCAATTATAAATTGAGGCCTCAGCACAGAACTCTGTGGGACTTTACTTGACGAATCCTGTCAATCACAGATCCACTGCATAACATTTGGTTTACTGTCAGACAGTTAATCTTCTAGCCATGCTATCATGTCACAGCCTACACCATGGGCTAGTACCTTCTGAAATAACCCTTGATGTGGCATTTTACAAAATTTTCTTAAATTCCTTCCTGAAATCCAAGTAAACATCCACAGTACATTATATTACTCCTTCAAAGTCACTTAATAATTTGGTTGAACACGATTTCCATTCAAGAATCCCTGAAACTCTTTCTGAATGCCTTGAGATTTGATGAGTGCACGTCTATAACCTCTGTAAATAATCCATTTTGATATTTACAGTTTCCAATCTGATTAAAACTTTTTGAATCTAGGGGCTTTTGGAAAATTAACACCAATGCACCTACTGCCTCATTAGGAACCTAAGACCCGAGGATGAAGTCCATCTGGATTTGGAGACTTTGTCAACCCACAGTTGCTTCAGTTTGCTCAGTTCTGCTTCCCTAGTGATTCTGACTTCAATATGGTCCTCCCTCCCTTCCTTCCTTGATTTACAATTATTATGGGAATGTTCGCAATATGTGATTAAATTCTCATTGTGCTTAAACTATTGGAGTCACTTCCTAGTTTCAAAAACTGATGGAGGCCAAACAGAAGCAAACAGGATTGTAGCATAGACACATCACTACATTCTACTTACAGGCTCATACTCACCAGTTTCACCAAAAGACACATGTGATGACCCTGGATAGAACGACTATACATAGATGCACATGAATTGATTTGTTCCACAACTATGAGGATGGAAAGAAAGATTATTGCACACATAATGCCACAATATACAATTTGACATATTACAGAGAAACACAATTTAAACAGAAGTGGTTTATGACAAGAAAGTACAAAAAATGCTAAAGCAGAACATTTAAGTTTAATGAATCCATTTTATAGAATTTTCTAATGAGGCATAGGGACTAAGATGGCTCAAGGCTGCTCTAGGAAATGAAATTCCTGGTTTGGAATTAGGAGGAAAAAAAGACTATTTTAGTTTTACAAAGAGTTTCAATCAGAATATTACATTCTTCAGGAGATAACTAGCCTGCATTGTACTCAAGAATTAACAGGAGGGCTCTTTGCAGTAACAGACAAGTTGACAGCAACCAGTAAAATAAACGTTGATCTATCACATTCTTCTTGGCTATCTGAAGATATAGGATCCATTCCAATTGGAACCTTTTTACATACCCTCATCAAATTAGCACATGTTGGTATTAGCACTTGCACTTTGAGATGCCACAGTATCAGGCTATGTTGACTGAAGGCAAAACAATGGAGTTTAACATGGAGTGTTTTGATGGAAGGTATGCTATTTAGATATACTTTATTTTTGAGTTTGCATGCTTGAATTTGAATTAGTGGCATGTGGGTTGTGTGTGTGTGAAGGGGTTTAATTTCTGTAGTCAAGGAGATTTATTTTAAACAATAATGTGAAGGCTTCCTGGGGAGTAATTGGTTTTTGTTTAAACTGTAAGAATTTACGTTATACAAAGTAGTACATTATAGTTTTAGGTAGAAGATTCTGGAATAATTCTTTTTGGGGCGTAGGGGGAACAATCAGGTTGGAAGAGGTACTTCTTTGTTTAAGCTTGGGCAGTTCTGCAGGGGTCTTAGCTAAAGCTGGATGTCTAAAACAGTTTGCTCTAAAAAAGGGAGAAGATAATTAAGAATGATTAAATATACTTTTAGAATAAGGAGATTAGATTAAAAGTTTCACACCAGAGTGTTTGGTTAAAACAGTGTACAGGTTATGTGAAGCTGAAAAGGTTTAAGCTTAGTCGAATGACAACACAGAGAGGAGGCTATCAGATTTTCACAAGTGGGAATTGAATCCACAGCCAAGTCAAACCTTACACAAGATGGAGAAGAGCATGATCTGTACTGTCATGGAATGCTGTTTGGATTACTAGGATTTACTTTGTGTGATAGTAAGAACTGCAGATGCTGGAGTCAGAGATAACAAGGTGTGGGGCTGGAGGAACTTAGCAGGCCAGGCAGCATTAGAGGAGCAGGAAAGCTGGCGTTTCAGGGTGGGCCCTTCCTCCAGTTCCACACTTTTATCTTTTATGTTCTTTGAAATCTTTAGATTTGTACTACTTAGTTTGGTTTATTCTATTTTGCCATTTCTTTTGTACAATAAAAGATCTGTTTTATTGTTAAAACCAAAATGTACAAGATCGAGTGTTTGCGTTTGAGAGACCATCCCGTTTAAAAAAAAAACAACAACCACCAAGCTAAATTTCAGCCTGTGATCTTTCTGGTCAAAATATCAGCTGAGACCGTGACAGTGAGAAAGATAGAATGACCAATCTTTCACTGTTCAAGATCAAGGTACAGCAGAAGGCCAGTTACATTTTTCACTAAACATGGATCTCTCAATATACGTGCATTGGACAGTCCGTTCCAGAAAATGAGTGTTCAGTTTTGAACAATGGAACAATTATGACCTATTTGTACATGATTTGTGTAACTATAGCAGAATTAAGAAGATTCAGTCAGAATTTGACTAATCTGAAAGTAGATTTTGAAATGTTTCACTGTAACTAAATGCGAATCCAACACACATAGCATATAAACTAAACTGATTGAATGTAGTGCTGGTTTGACACATACTGGATAAAATGAAATGTTCATTAGCAATTCATGTAAATTACTACGAATGCAAATGCATCACTAACATTCAATTTTCACCATTCTGGCAAGAACAAACACTTAATTCCACTGAAGTGCAGTGCAGTCTCAGGCAAACAGGAGGAATTAGCAATCCTCAAGTCACCATACAAAGAATGTTACTGTGATTGTTACAATTGCTTAGTCTGTGATTAATTCGAATGATGCATTTCTACATGTCAATGGCCAGGTTATATTGGGAATGCATCACGCGTAGTAAAAATTAGTGCTGTGAGTCAAGTCAAAAGGTGCTACATAAAAGGTAGCAGTCAGTTTTGGAGGAAGCTGGCGATTGGAAGTACTAAGTACAAACATGGCATTTGTTGGAAACTAAAAGCGAGAAATTATCGTGCACTGTTGGAAACAAATTTCCAGGAAGAATACTTTGCATTGGAAAAAACACAGCTGAGCCACAAGTAGTCCAAAACATTGTGTCCATGAAATAAACTGATGACAAGAGACTGTACTCAACCATTACAAGTTGTTTCTTTCAGCTTTCACTACATTGTTCACGTAGGTAAGGCCAAGTACATCTTCTATGGCCTTTGAGTTTTAGGCAAAGGCTCTGAATTGATCTACTGGCACATTGCGGGGCTGTGAAGGCCAGTATATCTGCAATTCACTCTTAAAAATACAATGTCAGTTGTATAGAGGTCATTAACATTCAAAAGGAAATGCAAATGTCAATACAACAAAACAATTCTCTAATTGAGTACAGAAAGAAGTACCTGAGAAGTGATGATGAAAGCAAATTTTAGCTAGAAGAAGCTGGAAAGAAATATTTATTCCATCTACTTTCATTGAACACATCTTCAATTCACCAGACTCTAGCAATTTTGCAAATGCGTCACTGCAAAGCAAGAGAAAGCCTTTATAAATGGTAGTCTGCAATCAAAAACCTTTCAGTAAAAGGTTGGTCTAATTTGTAAAGCAGAGAATGTAATTACATCAACAAGCAGTACAAGTACTCCATATACTGGCATTCTTATGGCTAGAGAATTCTTGCTATACGCAAGTTTGAAGAATATTTAAATTCAGCATCTAGCAAGGTGCCAAGGTTGTGGACTTCCTTGAAAAATAATAGCTAACAACTGAGAGGCCTGAGTGTCAATTATGTAACTGAAGTCACACATACACCAGGCCAGCAAGGGGGTGACAGGTTCGTTTTATGAAAAGGAATTTAGTGAATAAGTTGGATTTAAAAATAAACAACTTTCATGCAATTTTTTTCTACTTGTCCATCCACTAATTTACAAGCATAATTTTGAAGTCAGAACTTGACAGAGTGATGCATGTCACTAAATGGCATTGCTATATTTGCTGGCATAGCCCTGTTAATAATCAATAATAATCATGTCAACTTTTACTCGTCATAAGCTCAAAACGTTATGAAATTTACACTAAATATAAACTAAACCCTAGGCACACTCAGCAGATCTGGTTGCACTTGTTCAGAGAAACAGTTAACATTGTATCAACTCAGAAGTGAAGGAAGGTAGAATAGTAATGGATTTTATGAAAAGGGAGCAAGGGACAATAACAAATAGGCTCATTTGGGAAAAGGCGCAGAGGGTAGATGAAGTTAAAAGACAAAGATGACGAAGAAAGCACAAGGAGTTTGTAGTGAAACAAACAAAAACATTTGTTCAAAGTGAGTGACTGTCAGGGTAACAGACAACGTTTTTCATGAATTTGCTTGTGGGCACACAAAATTAAGTCCAACATATGGCCAAAAAAATGGGGGACAGGCTCCATTTCAAAATTGTTGAACTGCACATTGAGTCCTGCAGGCTGGAAAGTGCTGATTCAGCAGTAGTGCTATTCCTTGAGCTTTACTGGACCACTGCATCACATTGAAGTACTGAACCATGGCACGAGAGAAAAAAGTGGCAAATTAAAATGGTACGCAACTGGAAGCTAGGGAAACAAGGAGAGCTCTCAAACTATCCTGGTTGGAGGATAAAGGTACAGAGAGGTCAGATGTCCCTAGTGAAGTGGTGGCCAGGGTCAAGAAATTGGAAATTACTGAGTAGAGTTACAGGGGAGGGAGAAATGGTCTAGACTGAGAAGAGAGAAAATGGAGACATGTTAGAAAGAAACAAGTTCGACGGGGCAGGTACAGGTTAAAACAATGAGTGAACCAAAACAGCCTCATCTGTAGGTTTTGGGAAAGAGATAGAAGTAGATTTATATTAAGCAGGTATATTAGTTTTGTATCAAAAGGACTACTCCAGGAGCTAAACAGGAGACCACGACTGCATTCGGCACTGCAGGACCACCATTCGTTCAAGTTTTAATCTGCAAGACCTTTAAATTCCTTCCAATTAATCAATTAAAAATCTTGCCACACTCTTAAAACATGGAGTCTGGTCCTTAGAAGAAATGTTGCAGTTATTGTATAGAAAATTTTAAGCCACTACTGAACAATTATTCCAGATACTAATTCTGTGGATTCCATGTAATGTTAGAAGACAGAAAGAACAGGATGCTCCTATAGAAGGGTTGTGGGATTACAAAGCACAACTTTCTGTATATGGGCAAAAAAAAACACAAGCTGCTTTATTCATTTACCAGTAGACAACTAGCATGTCATTGCATCAGACTGTCCACTACAGGATCTGAACATCTAATCTGCATTAACGCAAGAGATATAAAAACATACTATCATTCAGGATTTGATCTTTTAATAAAATAGGCAGATTAACTTCACAGCAGTGACCAAGTCTATGTTATTTCTTTTTAAAAAAAAGGTCAAAATCATGAAGTCGGGTCACTGCCAAGAAGGCATGTGACTTCAATCAAATGCCTGGCAAGATACCTGTGGTGAATGGATAGCATGTTTAACAAAAACAGAAATTGCTGGAAAAGCTCAGCAGGTCTGGCAGCATCTGTGAAGAAATCAGAGTTAATGTTTCAGTTTGAGGGACCCTTTCTCAGAACCCGAAACATTAAATTTGATTTCTCTCCACAGATGCTGTCAGACCTGCTGAGCTTTTCCAGCAATTTGTTTTTGTTTCTGATTTACAGCATCCGTAGACCTTTCGGATGGAATGTTTATATGGTTGACTACAGACTAGTTGCTTAGCTTTTGACGTCAATATAAAATAATAGTTTTCTCCAAGCAAATCAGAAGAATCAGGATTTCAATTCAGAACACAGACCAGTTTTCTCCCAGTCGGGAATTTGTGAAGTTTCCAAGCCGAGTGAGCTTGAATGGAAGTCCTTAAGATATTAAAACTCAAAGTTTCGGCCATTCAGAATTGTGAAAGGTTCATGCCAGCAGACCTGGGAATGATTTTTAAAACTGTTTCAGCAGTCCAAGGAAAAAAAAACCATGAAGAATCAGTTCAGTTTAAAAAAAAACTTGAGTTAAGATAGGAGTGACATTTCTCTGGATTCAAGTATTGGGAGAAGAATAGTGTTGGGAAATAGATTGAAACTTTGCTTTGTTGCTGGTTTTAAGATCTAAATGCCTATATATTGCTATGGTTGCTATTTTTGTGTAACATATTAATGTGCTTATGTTTCAGTGATGAACCACCACAGTAACCAAAGCAAAAATAAACACTGTCTATCCAGTTCTGAGGAAGTGTTACTTGAAATGAAATGTTAACTCTGCTTTCTCTCCAGCTGCTACCAAACCTGCTGAGCTTTTCCAGCAAGTTCTGTTTTTGTTTCTGGTTTACTGCATCTGCAGGGCTTTCAGTTTTTATACTATCTATCAAACGAGATTTCATTCTAAGATCTGACTCGTCCAGCATTACTATCAACTATGATCATAAGAATTTACAACTGCAATACTACATTGTTGTAAATAACTAGAAAGAGAATAAATGCACATTTACCCAAGATAATTGAACAATTAGGATGGCACGTAATGTGTAAGAACGACAAAGTTGCAGTTATCTAATGACACGAAAGTTGTGAGCAAAGACAATTACAATCCTCAAGAAGGATCTTAACTAAAACGTAACCTATAATTCACTTCAGATCACAACTGTACATGTGAGTTTTCTATTCTTATTTCAGTCACTTTATTTTAAAATGTATCACCACTTCATGATCATTATTAAAATATCATTAATACTTAAATTGTCTTGGGAGTCACCAATATTCTCGAAGTAGAATAAGTCTTTGCATAACTTGAAAACAAACCTATAACAAGGCGTCGTAATCATGTAGGAAGTGCAAGTGAAGTGCAACTTAAAATCAAGTTTTTCATGAGAAGATCCATCATCTGTCTGGAAAAAAAGAAACAGTACAGTGAAGGAGTGGATAGAATAGAAGGAAAATTCAGACAGGAAATCTACGCAATGATTGAACTTACTTTTACTATAAAGGTCAGGGTTCCTTTCAGTTTTTGTGGCATGACTATGCTTTCCACAGTAAACACAAACCGAGCTTCATTTGAAACTTCTAAATAAAAAAGATGCAGTTCAACTGGTTAACTTTCTATCAAACACTGTTAAACATAACACAAAAGCCAACAATTAAAGTGAATATACTATGCACAAAGAAAGACAATGCTGAAATGGTTTTGGAATTTCACCCCAATACAAAGATGTTGCAAAAGGTTCCCTCCAAGTAACACACCATTCTGAATTAGAAACCATCATTGGGTCAAAGCACTGGAACTTCCTAATAGCTTCCATAGATCCTTGAATCTGCAATTGTTAAGGAGGATGGCTCACCACCACCTTAAGAACAGGTGGGAATAGGAAATAAATGTTCCCTACATTCCACAGACAAAGGAAAAAAAAAAAAGAATGGCTTGAGTTGCAGCCTTGCAGAATGTGCATCTTTCCACCGTTAAGAGATTACACAGACAGTTATCCCTTTTCTCCCATATGTGGATTTCTCCGCCAGCATTTCAGAAAAAGAGGAGCATGCCAATACAAAATGATGACAGCCACATGATTGAAGATGGTGCACAAATGGATGGGCTAGTGGTATTATTGCTGGACAGTTAATCCAGAGACCCAGATAACGTTCTGGGGACCAGTGTTCAAATCCTGCCACGGCAGATAGTGACATTTGAATTCAATAAATATCCGGAATGATGATCGTACATCCGTTGCCGATTGTTGGGAAAAACCCATTTGGTTCACTAAAGTCCTTTAGGGAAGGAAACTGCCATCCTTGCCTGGCCTGGCCTACATATGACTCCAGGCACACAGCATTGTGGTTGACACTTAACAGCCCTCTGGGCAACTAGGGATGGGCAATAAATGCTGCCCTTCCAGCGACGCCCACACTGCTGCCTCACAGCGCCAGGGACCCGAGTTCGATTCTACCCTTGGGCGACTGTCTGTGTGGAGTTTGCACATTCTCCGTGTCTGCGTAGGTTTTCTCCAGGTGCTCCGGTTTCCTCCCACAGTCCAAAGATATGCAGGTTAGGTGGATTGGCAATGCTAAATTGCCCAGTGTTCAAGGATGTTTAAGGTTAGGGGGATGGGTTTGGGTGGGATGTTCTTAGGGTCAGTGTGGACTTGTTGGGCCGAAGGGCCTGTTTCCACACTAGGGATACTATGATTCTATTCTATGATTCTAAAAAAAAATACAAATGCTACCAAATTTGCATAAAAGGTGACACAGTCATACAGGTGACACAAGTAGCAACTTAGCTATGACAATTTAAAAGTTCTTATTTGAACAAATAAGAAAATGCAAAACTCTGTTGGAATATCAAAATTAAATGAGAAATTGGTGAAAATCACAGGGCAGTAAAAATCCATAAAGCAATGTCATCCTGTGACAGACCAAATTAAAGCTAACTTTTCAACAGATGATGATGATTGGGCTTTTGGTTTTTTCAGATTTCTGGCAGATGCTGCTTTTGTTTTAAAACTTGCTTTGTAATTGTACATTGCTTGTTGTTTGTTCTTCAAGCATTTAATTTGTTAAGTTTGCTATGTTTATCAACTAAATTCTACAGCACTGCTAAAATAGTTAGAAACTACCTGAAAATAAGCCTGAAAGTAAAACAACAACATGACTGATCATGCCATAGCAATGAAACGTCTTACCTGGTGGAAGCTGGAAAGGAACTGATATACCATCATGTATAGAAGATCCTTCTGGTCGAACCAGTTTAGTGTTGAGAGAATCTAAAACATTGAACTCCATTGATTTAAGATAACCACTACTTTGATTTTCGAAGATAACCGATACAACAACTTGACTTCCATCCTGAAGGTTTCCTTGAACATCATACATCTAGTAAACAGTTCAAAGCAGTATGTTTTTAAATAATCATGTCATACTACAGAAACATTCAACATATTTAATAAGTTACTCAATCACCTGTGACATTGCACAAGGTGAATAACGACCAAGTACAGTACATGGCTAAGGAGCGGAACAAAAGGGGAAAGGGAAAGAAAATAACATGGAACAGAATGGAGAAAAGGACCAGCCTGAGTGTTAGTAGGGTTCATAGTCAGTGCTAAGCAGTTAGTTTATTAACAAGGGTCCAGGTGGATGGCAGAAGGGAGCTGGCAGTGGAAATTTTGCATCAGCTTTATTCAACTCCAATTGTGTCTAAACATGGTGCTGATCATGAGGGTTTAGTTTATTTATGAAGACTTTATATTGAGTTCATTGAACTACCAGAGACATGACTTGGTGTGATTTAGGGTGAAGTGGGAAAAGGAAATTTCTGAACTTCTCACTCAATCGTAGAAGTACGGAACAGAAATCTTAGAATCCCTACAGTGCATTTGACCCATTAAGTCTGCATCGACCCTCTGAACAGCATCCCACCCGGACTCTCTCCCATACCCCGCATTAACCATGCTAATCTACATAACTTGCACATCTGTGGACTGAGGGAGGAAACCCGATTAACCTGGTGGAAATCCACACAGACACAGGGAGAACGTGCAAACTCTGCACAGACAGTTGGCCAAGGCTGGAATCAAACTGGGTCCCTGGCGCTGTGAAGCAGTAGTGCTAGCCACTGAGCCATTGTGCTGGCCTTACTTTTTTTTGTGTATTTTTAATTCCATTACCTGTTCTGGGGCCTCTCCTACTTCTGTTCTGGTCACTCTCTCACGTTGGGTAAGAAAACTTTTCTATTCTAATTAGTTGGAATTGTCCTCTGCAGTGCAGTTTCCTTTAGCTTGGGTGGGTGGAGGTGGGAGGTGTGCCTTTGAATCCTGGGAAAAGTTGACATTGGTGGGGGGTAGTTGGCAAGCTCTGAGAAAGCTGTTGAACGTGGCACCATTTAAAATTCCAGACTGCACTTTTTCAGACAGTTAGTAGAGGGGTTCTCTGTACTGATGCATTACCAAAAGATTTCCTAAATTAGCACAGCATACTTGAAAATACTGCTGTCTGTTATGGAGTTATTTCAGTACATATAAAACTGCACTTGACAATACAGGCCAGAGTTTAATACGGAAAATGGTGATCACAGCACCACCTACAGGCCCAACCGGCACTGCAGGTCACTGTCAGCGCATCATAAAATACACAGAAAGAAGGAAGTAAGACGATTTGTCAAACTGAAAGTATAGAAAGCTCTTTCAAAATTGATAAAATTTGGCTGAACTGTGAAATACTGCAGTCCAAGAGGAAATAAATCAGAGGAGTGGATGATCAACCTCCGGTTTTCTCAAACTACATAGTTGAGGAACAATCCCTTTGCCTGCCACACCCACAATTCAGGCAAGGACTCAAATCTTTGAAGCAATCTTTTCCTCTTTTATAAATATTTCAGTGTCGAGTGTAAAGAGACATACAAGTACATCTTGTGATGTTTACCAGGTGTATGAATTGTGCTTGACTGACACATTTCTGTTGATTTACGTGCTTTTTGCAATTTTGTAATTCTGGGGTGGGAGAAAAATTAATCATTTTGTTTGCAAATAGATGGTCATATACACTGAAGATAGAATTTACTGAGATTCTAATTTTGGGAACCATTTTATGCGCAACACAATCTCACCATATTCGTTACACTGAAAGAACGCAATAGGATCGTGTTCATTAAAAAATAATCTGTGAGCTGCAACTGTATGAAATCTGATCACACATTCCTAGAACAAGCCATGGCCTAAACCATGTAGTTTTCTCATCTGCAGATGCTAGAAATTCAAACAATGATAAATGAGGGATAAAATGAGGCAACTTAGAGCAAAACTGAGGAAATCTTATTCTGGATTTATTTCAAAATAAATAATGCTTCATTTAAATGCAACTTGCACGACAATGTAAATTGAAGTATTATGGTACTCACCATTTTAACATAGGAATCTTCTGCTAGAAGGCAGTAGTTGGACATTGGCTAAAAAATATTTAAAAGAAGAAGAATTGGTAAGGATATACAAAACTACAAACAAAAATATAAAAATGACTGGCAGGTAGAGTCAATACAGCATGTAAACCCAAAACGTTGACTTTCCTGCTCCTCTATGCTGGTTGACCTGTTGTCAGCCTCTAGCTCCATACTGTATTGACTCTGACAATACAATATCTAACAACAGGTTACAGGTTACCTATTGCTTGTATAAGAGTGTGAAGCACACTCCTATATGAAACAGCCCCACCTCTCGTCTGCCAAAATGAATAACCTCAGTTTTCCACGTCAGTTTTTTCCCCACTGACTTAACACTGTACATCTGTGTAGACTGTCTTTCTTACTACTTGCTCTCCCACCTGTTGTACATCATTCACAAACTTTGTTATTGTACATTCACATTCCACATCCAAGTTATTAATATACAGTAAATAATTGTTGCAGTGCACTGATCCTTGTGGCACTCCACTTGTTACCGATTGCCACCTTTAAAATGCCCCCTTATCCCAACGTTGCCTTCTGTTAGTTTGCTAATCCTCTATCCATGTTAATGTACACTCAACACCCTGGGCTCTTACTCTTAAATAACCTGACAATTAGTACCTTAACAAATACTTGCTTGTTACCTCTTCAAAGAATCCCAATACAGTCAGATAAGATTTCCTCTTCGTGAAGCAATGCTGACTCAGCTTGATTATATTTTGCATTGCTAAACGCTCTGCTACTACACCCTAATACAAAGTAACTTTTTAGTGACTGTTTTTGTCTCTCTCCCTTTTTGAAAAAGGGTGCTTGCATTGACAAATTTCCAAACCTTGGGATATTTTCACAATTTAGAGAGTTTTGGAAGATTACAACCAGTACATGCTCCATCTCTATCTACTCCCTTTAATATCCGAAGATGCAACCCATTAAGTCCAGGGGATTTATTGGCCAATAGCCTCATAGGGCTATTGCTATTTCCTTAGGGCTTTGTTATAGTGATAGTTACAGTATTTGTTTCCTCCTCTATCCCCCACACATTTAACCCCTTGATTATTTAGTATTTTTGGAATGGCATTAGCATCTTGTACCATGAAGACAATTGCAAAGCATTTATTCAACTCCTCTATTTCCAGGTTCCCCATTATTCCTTGCCACACTCATTCTTTAAGATGCCCATGGTCACCATGGGTTCTTTACTTTATATGCTTTTACAGAAGCTCTGACTGTCTGTATTTTTTTTTCCAATCACTATTACCATATTTTATATTATTAAACTTACTTAGTTCTGATGATTTGCATACTTGGAACAAAACATTCAAGGCAGGCATATATGTTTGAAACCTGGTTGCTACACATTAAAATCTTCCTACAGAGGAATAAACTTTAAGAGTGACTCATCTTTGGTTCTGTTTACTAGAATTAAGTAGTCAATACTGTGTCTTCTTTTGCATACCCACACTTTTGGGCTTAATTTGGACATTAAATTAGTTGAAAAATCATCACTAGGCCAGAGTTAATGGCTATGAAAGAATGCAAGTGAATGTGTTATCATTCCCACCCCCTCAACTGCATGCACTTTGCAGACAGACAGACAGACAGACAGTGGGCCAGAAAGAAGGGTAGGCCCCAAATAAAACTTTTAAAATGAGCTAATTAACCTGAAGGCTATTTGTAATGATGACTTGTAACAATGATGCTTGATAATTCAATTGTGAATTCATTATAGTTTGCAAATTTACAAGGTTGAAAAGGTTTCCTACATCTAACAGGAAACAAGTATCAAAAAGGTCTTACAGCATGGCAACAGCAACAAAACACAACAGTGATTCAATCATTTTTGTTTTGATACCCTTCTGCAAAAGGATCAGCCACAACCTGAAAACCTACTAGTGTACAAATTAGCATACCGGTAAGGGCTCATCCTCCAAGCTACCATTCTGAACAGATTCTGGAGCCTCTTCTTCACTGTGGTGTTTCTTTTTCTTGGATTTCTTTTCTTCTTTTGATTTTTCTTTGTGTTTCTTCTTTTTATGCTTCGATGATTTCTAAAGCAGTAGCGGCACAGCAATCAGAAAATTGTAATATAGGGCCTATTTAAAACTGATTTGCCTTATTTGTGAAATTAAAAGCCATAATCCACATTTAGTAATGTCAATTTATGAAACAGCCAGACTTGGATCTATGCCACCAATTCTTCACTCTCCGAGAAAAAAATCATGGGACCCACTTTCTGTTGATATACCTTCACTTTAGTATTCTCCAGCAAACCAATACCTCTCATCTCCACAATTCTTGGGTCCAGACTCTGGCCCATTGATCCTGAGCCCCTTTTGCCCTGCTACTGACGGCCTTGGCCTTAGTCAGAGGTGGTACAGCAATGCTTCCCAAGCATTTTCCCTGGTGTGACCCCTTTTAATGCTTCGTATGTTATGTGACTACATAGTGAAAATTTGGTGGCTTTGCATGCTGATGAGCTGGCTGTGTGGAAGAAGAGTCTTCAGTCAGAGATAGTAAGAACTGCCAATGCTGGAGTCTGAGCTAACAGTGTGGAGCTGGAAGAACACAGCAGGCCAGGCAGCATCAGAGGAGCAGGAAAGCTGATGTTTTGGGGCGGGACCCTTCTTCAGAAATGGAGGGTTCAGACCCGAAATGTCAGCTTTCCTGCTCCTCTCTTGCTGTTTGGCCTGCTTTGTTCCTCCAGCTCCACACGGAGGCTTCAGGTGAGTTGTTGGAAGGGGAAAGAGAATCCAGGAGTTGAGTACTGGGGGGGGAAAAAAAAAAAAAAAAAAAAAAAAAAAAAAAAAAAAAAAACACTATCAAAAAGGTGTTTTCACAAAGAAAAGATGAACAGCCTACCTTTTCACAGGCATTTATTTTCAGCAGCAAATAGGCCCAGAACACATCCGATTAGGCCAGGCCCACCAGTACGAAAAACAAACCCGGGTATTGAAATAGCTCTCAGCTGCGGTCCACAGCAGCCACTACTATCTTGATGCTCTAAACCCCAGTATCATGGCTTGAGACACTACTTGGTATCAAGACCCTATTTCTGCACTATACTCTGAAATTCCCTCTATTTTTCATGTTTCTCAACCTAGTCCTCGTTGAAAATTTCCCTTTAAAAAACTTTGGTCACTGCTATTACATGGTACTTTAGTTTCAGTATTAATGGTCTGGTCAAACTTCCATGAAGCATCACTAGAGTTTTTTTCCCCCTCCCCTACAAATTTAAGTTTGGTTTGCGCTTGTTTAATTAGCCAACACAGATGGTGTATGACTAGACTGTCCTGTAAACTGTGTCGATGCCTGTTTGCCATGCAGCCACACAAGTACTGTGCAGGGAACAAACAGTATGCACAAACAGTTGTCCACATCAGCACACAGACAGAACAATCTTGGAGGGACTGAGCAATGCAACAAATGGGCTACACACAGCAAAGGTCATTAGAGGGAAATAAAAACAGACGGCACAGGAGAAACTCAGCGTCTCTGGCAGCACCTGTGCTAAGAGTTTACATCAAGGGGTCTGTTCCCACTGCAACAGTCTGGCCCACTGTATCACCCTCAATACCGAATCTGTCCTGTTCTCTGTGGCAACTTCCCATGAAATCGCTGGAGGTGTAACACTTGCCCTTGAACTGTCTCCCTCTCCAAGGCCCAAACCACACTTTCCAGATGAAGCAGCAAATTTCCTTGTACTTATTTCAGTTGTACTTATTTGCTGCTCACAGTGTGATCTCCTCCTCATTAGGGAAACTGTGTTGCGGAGTTGGGTAGAGTATTTGTGGATTGGGAGGCAGGAAGTTAGAATTTGGTGTTTGTAAAATACCACGGGGGTGAAGTATTGCGTGGTCCTTTTAAAACATCATATGCCTTTTCTGTGCTTAGATTTAAAATGGATGTGAGCAGCAGCTTGAAAGTTTGCAAGAACACAGACAAATTGAAACATTTGTATTGAAAGGCTGTACAGTTAGCAGGCTAAGCAGCAGTTTTTATCAAGACAACAAGCTTTTGAATTTATCCTATTTGAACCAGACACTTAGATACCCAAAACCGATTAAATTTAAATCTGATGGCTGTGACAAGGTACAACCAATCCTATTGTAAGAAATATTGCTAGGTCATCAAGGGCATAAAAAGAAAGGGGCAGTTGGACAAAGACCCAGAGTCAACCACATTGCTGTGGGTCTGGAGTCACAAGTAGGCCAGACCAGTTAAGGATGGCAGTTTCCTTCCCTCAAGGACATTAATAATCCAGAGGGGTTTTTTCCGACAATTGACAATGGATTCGTGGTTATCATTAGACCCTTAATGCCAGATTTTTTATTGAATTCAAATTTCACCATTTGCCATTGCAGGATTTGAACCCAAGTCCCTAGAGCATGAATTGAGTTTCTGGATTTTATAGTCCAGTGATAATACTAGCAGGCCATTGCCTCCCCATCACAAAGTGTTGATGCCTTAAATAACAGCTCTTTGCAACGAACAACTGCTGAAAGGAGCAAAATCTTATAACAGAATATACATTATTAAAAAAGGTTACTTAGATGAGAAGTACTAATGACAGAATGGCAAACTTCAACATCGTAAGAATCCCAGGATGGTTAACTCAACTTGATAAACTGCAGAGAGTATTTATACTTGACGGAACAGCACCAAAATAATACGGAAACCCCTCATAGGTATCTTGTTTAAAGACACAGCTCGATGTCAACTAAGTCTCTGTACATTAAGTACTTACTGCATCCTCTTTCTTGTCATTTTCTTTTAATGTCTCTTGAAGTTCAGAAGCCACTTCGTTCCTAAGCAGTTCTTGCTGCAAACAGATACCAAAGCTTTAAACTACTTAATGTCATCCACATTACAATTTTTCTTGACTTCAGTTCTCAAAAGAAATCAATCTACGCAACTGTAAATCAAGATCTAGACTGTCTTATTTCTAATGGCAGCAAGGTTCAAAGACATGTTTTCCAAGATTATGGGAGATAGCTGCAAGGCTACATCTATTACCCCTACTTTTGTTTACTAGGCTCGTGGGTGTTTTTCCTTGAGGAACAGAACAAAATCATTTGGGTTGTTATAATAAGCTGACAGTTCTCACAGCATTATTTTCTTCACATCTGATTTGCTGTTGAGATTTATCGCACTGAATTTCACAACTTGTCATAATAGAATTTGAACTCAACATCCGAGTCGCTAGTTGAGTACCACAACTAACATGTCACTGCCTGATGCTGTGCCAGAAATATTAATACCAGAGTGCAAATCCTTCACTTGATTGCACTTATTCTCTAGGGAACATAAGCATCCCACTATATTAAAAGCTGTTTAGATACAAGCACTTCAGCATAGATCAAAGACTACCTGCAAATACTGGGAGTAAAGTTCTTTCTCTCCTTATACAAAAACAGTGCATCACTAAATTCACACTTCAAAGAAAAACTAAACTGGCAAATGATCATTCTTGCCATCCATACACAAAAGCATTATTCAAATTATTACAGCTCAACAATGGAAAAATCAAGTCTCCGCGCATCCTGGGATAGCAAGAACTGCAGATGCTGGAGTCAGAGATAACAGTGTGGAGTTGGAGGAACACAGCAGGCCAGGCAGCATCAGAGGAACAGGAAAGCTGACGTTTCAGGTCAGGACCCTTCTTCAGCATCCTGTTCCTTTCCATCAGCCACTTAGTGTAATGCTACTATCCTGTTTACTGCCAATATTCTTTCATGCTTTTTCAAGATATTGATTCATTTTCACAGTAATTGACAATCCTGTGGCAATTGTTTATTGTATGTTCCTACCACAGTTTGTGCAGAAATGTTTTCAACTTTCTTTTCAATGCTGTTACCCTATCATTTATGCCCTTGCTTGTCAAGGTAAAGTGCAAACATTCCATTATTTATCAAAATAATGTTTCAGATATTTGAATACTTATCAAGTTGCTCTCAACTTTTCAACTCTGGTGGAAGCAATACCCAAATTCTAAGATATCCTGACAAAACACGAACCTCTACTTGGAGCAATTCTTCCTTAATTTAATATCTTCTGATAATTGAATTTACAAAACCAGTGCTTCCCAAACATGTTGTACTGTGATTCTACTTTGTGCACTGAATATAGTCTTGACTCAATGGTGAGTAGTTGTGGGGCAGGAGGAGACAACCTTTGAGACTGGGGCTCGTGACCCCAAAACTGAAGTTCACAACACTTGTGGTCCAGTCCCCCACTTTAGGAAGTCCTGTACTTAAGCACAGAAAACACCCCAGTTGTAGCTCAAAGTCCAACTATTTATTTCCACATCAAGCCAAATATAATTACTTAATGTGTTTCTACACAGAACTGGCAGGACCAATTCAGCTAGCCTAATATTCTTTTGTAGCCTTTCACATCACAATTTGCTTTGGTTGTATCTGGTGCTGTCAATAATCTTACATTTTCTCTCAAGACTGCAAACACTTGTAAAACAAAGAAATACAGACACTATGCACCATTCTGAAAACTAAGCACAAGAAATAAGGCCAGCTTTATTTGAGATGTGGTTTTAAGTTTCATGGAATACTTTGCAAATTATTTAGCTTAGGTGCTTGGTCTAAAACGAGTGTAAGATTAATACATGAACACGACTCTGAATATACATACCTGCGGTTTACTTTGTACGGGAGCAGGAGACAACCAGAAGTCCAGATCTGATGCCTTAACAAAAGTAAAAAAATCCAGCAAGGTTATAATCAAAATCAATGTTTCAAAATCAGGAATTAAAAGTAATAAGCGGACCTTACGTAAAGTGAATGTAGAAGCTGGAGTTAGACTCAATTGGATCTTCCTTTTCAGAAAAGGAAAATTAAGATATTAAAGTGAATAATAAACCTGTGTTTCTAAATTCCAACACAGCTAAATGAAATTTCTTTTAAAAGAATTTAGAAAGATAAAAATTCTAAATTAGAAACCTTTATCTCACTTTCATATCCTTAAGTTTCAAGGAAAAGCTGAAACAAATTTACAAGTGTTTTTGACACAATTTGTCAAACGCCACTGTCCCTTGCTTCTCAATACTAGCCCTTTTTCCTTCACTTGTTCCACTATGCAGTGGCTACTCCTTCAGCCAATTTGCCGTCATTTGTTGGAACTCCTACCTCAGCGCCTTCACTGGTTTGTAAAACTCTAGGCTTGCTACAGAAATGTTACAATCCATATTTTCTTTCTTAAAAATAAAATAACTATCAAAGCTGCTTGACTCTCACCTGCACTATTCAGGTCAGAACACTGGCATCGGATCTGTTCAGGGAGAGACTGCAGTGTAGAGTTCCGGTTGCAACTCAGTAATTTGCTGATTTTAGGTGGCTCAAATCACCCCCAGACTGTGATATGTAGGATCAAGCAAAAATCCCCATCAAAAATACTGGACAAGACTCCTGGACTTTTCAAAACTTTTAAAAGTAAGGGGACAGCTGGGCTGAGGTCTGGGAAAAATACACACACAAAAAGGTGGCTGCTTGGAACCATTGTTCAGCCTGCGACTCCAATTTAGGCCTCCATACCAAGAGAACAATCAACCAAACTTAACACTCTAGAATGAAGAGAGATAGCAGGAACTGCAGATGCTGGAGAATCTGAGCTAATAAGGTGTAGAGCTGGATGAACACAGCAGGCCAAGCAGCGTCAGAGGAGCAGGAAGGCTGACGTTTCGGGCCTAGACCCTTCAGAAAATTCAGAGATTTCTGAAGAAGGGTCTAGGCCCAAAACGTCAGCCTTCCTGCTCCTCTGATGCTGCTTGGCCTGTTGTGTTCATCCAGCTCTACACCTTGTTATCTTATACTCTAGAATGAAACTAACTTTTACACCTCAGGCTACCCAGCACAGACAGTATAGGGCCTACACAGATAAACATTCAGTTTCAATTGAAATCGATTCACACAAAGTCTTAACGATCAGGAAATAATCGACTTCAGAAGAAACATCACAAACACAATGGCAACACAGATTTGAGTAGAGATAATGGGGCACACAGTCTGTACAACTGCTAGCGCTGATAATGACCTGAGAAGAGAGCCTTCTGCAACAACAGCTTCTGCACAAACAGCTTCCCCACAGGCTTCCAGAACTGTTACAAAGCTGGGTACAGTAATTGTGAAGTGGAACGCAGGAAGCTAAAATAGGTGGTTCCTATGACTGACTGTATAATCTGACTGTATTTAACAGATATGTGCTTTGTACTTGGACATTTTTTAAAAATGTCTATGTCTGTGCGCAGCAGCTAAAATTGCCAATAGAGTCTCAAAAAGTGAAACAAGATGTCAAAAATGTCTTACAGGTGGCAGGCAAAACAATAGTCTTGTTTTGATGCTGTGACACCAAATTTGAATTCGGCCAATTAACTTAAAACCAAACTCAGCAATTCAAAGCCAACTGAGTTTAAAAACTGATGGCGTTGACAACCTGAAACCAAATCATATTATAACAATTTGGATTACGTCATTACGAGTATATAAGGCGAGGGCATTTGGAAAATTGGAAAGAGCCAACTGCCATCTAAAAAGAGAGACTAGTCACCTGCCAGTTAGCACCATTCAGCTCTTACAGAAAGCCCATCTAATTAATCGAAGGTACCACGGTATTTTAGCTCAAAGTCCTCATTGAAGAAATTATAGAAATAAAACATCCCTGACAGCAGAATTAGTGGAAGAAAAGCGTTTGTGAAGAGACCAGAGACGACAGAATATTCCAGAAGACAGTCTGTGCAAACTTGGAGAGAGTAAATTATAATTTATTGCTTCTTATTAATTGGGTTTATATTAGTGGGACTGGTCTTTATTTAAACAGCATTCCAGCAGAATTTAGACCAGTTAGGGAGTAGTTACTAGTCTAAAGGGATTTGTCGGTTTGTTAGTAATTTTGTTAATTTGTTTGTTGTTGGGATAAATAAATAAATACTTTCTGGTTACTTGTCAAATGGAGATCAGGAATTTTCTTTAAACTACTCTTAAATTATGAGGGGAAAAGATAGCTTTTCTGGGTGTTTTGGGGGTAATTATTAGTAGGGAACCTCTAATCCCATCAGCAGATTGGGGCCTGTGTTTTAGTTTAATTATCAGAGGTGGGTGGGGTTCGGCCATTCTGAACCAAGGACCACAGAGGCAAAACAGAGAAGCTGAACCAGGAAGCCAAACCAAAGGCATCATCGCAACAAAGGACGAGCACGAGCGAGGGGGCGGTATCCAGTCGACAGCTTCCAGACACAGGCCTGTTTCAATCCAAGAGAATTGACAGCAGAACCTCACCAACCAGGCACACTTTAAAACCACTTATTCGTCAGTAGTGAGCTTAAACTCCTCTCCCCAACGTTTCTGACATAGCTAGCAGGGACGAGAAGGTGGTGGTGACAGCGCATGGGACCCCAACGATAGGAAGCCTGATTAAAGTTTATGATGTAAAAAAAGCTATTTAGCTTCTAAAATGTTTAATCTGTGTTTAATTTAATGGGGTATTTCATTACTGCCCTCTGTAATTGATAGTGTTGACTTCACTTTGTTGCATTTACTTTTATTTCTTATATTATACTTACCTTTTATATTTAAATAAGCATGGAGATTCTTTTGCCTTGAAACACCCGTCTACCAGCTTCTTCATTTCACATTCTCTAAATAAATCCCGTGTCTAGAGCCAGGGATCTGGGGTAATTTGGACCACCTAAAATCAGTAAATTACTGAGTGCAAACCAGAATCCTACAGCAGTCACTGTGCTAATAGTGAGTCAATCCCCAAAGTCCTAGAAAAGTACTTTAAACAATTATGCATTAAAGTGTCCATTTGTTTCCTGGATAAGAGTTGGGACAGCAAGCTAAAATTTTTACTTGGATGAAGCCTATACAAGTCATGTAGTCATGGAAATGGGGCTTGAAAAGGAATTAAGATATCCTAAAAATCACACACAAGTTAGTCTTCAGGATCCAAGGGAAGAATAGAATAAGCAGCAAGATGCTCTCTGGAGCAAAGAAATTAGTAAAAGACAGATTTCAGATTCAAAGTCCCAAGAGTGAGAATGGGAAAAAACAAAATGTTTCCAGGATAGTTCAATACCTACTTGAAAGGACAGTGTAAGCCATGTCTGAGAAGTGATTTTGTGCTTGCACTAAGTTCTGTTTTATGTTTTATACTGCAAGTTACCTACAAAGAAAGTGTTCAGTCAACAGTGCTTTTAGTCTTTTGTTGACAAGACAGACATGTTGCCAAAGTTGGTCTTGAGCTCAACATGGTACACCTACAATGCTAAATTTTGAATGATCATAAATGGTTTAGACAAAGAGAAAAGGGCTGTTGATTGTTTGGTAGGTTGACTCTGATTAGCCAAGACATTACCAAGGAGAAAGCAGTGGGAAATTACAGAATTCCCACGCTCCAGGGGAACGCAAAATAAAGCACAACATTTGAACACATTTCTTTTGTTTGCATACTCATCCATGTTTTTTCCTTCAAATGTAAATGAGTCATGTTATGAGCCCACCTGATCTTAAATTGGGTGTTAATGTAGCTATTGACGTACTAGGATTGTTCTATAAGTGTTGCCAAAATGTGGAATCTAACTCAACAGAAGTCTCCAACTTGAAGGCTTCATAAGTTAGATCTGGTTGAGTACAATCTATGTTTGCCTCTTGTGACAACCCTAGGAACATGTTTGATAAGTGGCAAATACATGGGACATAAGGCCAATGTACCTGCCATCACACCGGTACAGAACTCATACAACAGGACTCATTAGACAAAGGTAGAACATCTTTTTTGGACAGACAGACATTGCTCAACTGTGAGTGATAGGGCGAGACCGCTTGCTAAGCCTTTTCAAATTTTGAGATACCATGCCTTTCCAGCATAATTTGAAATAGGCTGAATACCTTCCACATCCAAATGTGGTAGCTTTTGACTCATTTGTAGGTTTGGACATTGTTCTGTAGGATAACTTGTGTTCTATTTCTGGGTGATGTTTTCAAGGTGGGCAAATAGCTCAGGCCCTTTGTAAAAGATCACTGAATAGGGCAATGTTACTGACTATACAAATCTGGCTGGAGAAGGTAGGGTTGCGACAGAAACAGAATTTCGGTGATGTTGGAATGGCAGGTGCACAGGTCATAAATCTCAAATATTCAGCAACATACTTAGTTTCAGCAATATTCAAATCCTGTACCACCAAGTGACTGTTTTATTCATTTGTTAGATTAAAACTTTACAAAATGTGGGATTCTATCATATCAACCTCCCAACAATTAACTGGCTGTTTGAATTTCTCTGTACGTGTTAAGCTGCAGTATTTGGGAGAGAAAAGTGGTAAGGCACGAAGTAAACAGTGCATGGGGAGAAGCACTCGGGAGCAAACTGGCAAGAAGAAAGGTCAATGACAATGGCAAAGCGGGAGAGGTGACCAGGAGGGTTCAGAAAGGAAGTGGCAAGTGACACCAAGTGAGCAACATTTGCAATCAAACGATTGGCACTTAAATCGACTGGTACCTGGCTGCATGGGTTAGATGGAACTGCAATTAGCAGCTGAACTGCTCACCTTTGACTTCCCAGCCTCTCACCTGCTGTTTCAGCCACGGTATATATGGCTGGTCCAGTTCTGTTTCTGATAACGGAAACTCAGATGTTCACTGTGTGGGGCTAGGGAGATGGTTTGAGCAGCAGTTCTGGAAGTGCCTGAGCAGCAGGATATTGCTGTTGAATTATCTCTGTCAGCACTGTCGACAACAGTTTCTATCATGATGGAACGGAACAGGAACATAGGCATGCCTAAGGGGTCAGATTGGAGGAAACAAGTGTTTGGAAGACTGCAAGGCTGAAGGACTTATTTTTGTCAGGGTAACTATCATAACCACCAGCACGAACAAACAAATGTTCAATTTTGTAGGTCATCCCAAAGACGACAATAACAAAGAAGCATCAGCCTGGAATGTAAGCTCAAGGGTTGGAATAAGACATGAACCTACAACCTGTTGAATCAGAGGAGAGCCACAGTGCGAAACCAAATGACTAATTAACTTATTCCAAAGGAGTACTTTCTTCTATTTGGTATTTATTTACTGGGGTCCTTTTCGCAAAAGTCACTGACATCCTATCTCAAAGCAGCAAATGAGAAAAGACAGGTTAGAAAGACTTCTGTCACTACAAAAATCAGACAGTTCCTCCTTCCTGTAGAAAACCATGCAGGTCTGCAACTAGGCAGTTATGTTAGATGGAACTGCAATCAGCAGCTGAACTGCTCACCTTTGAATTCCCAGCCTCTCACCTGCTCTTTCAGCCACAGTCATGTTAGAATGCACAAATGACTGTGCGTGCAACAGATGGCCATCATTGATTAAGGGCAACCAATGTTCTTTTTCAGTTCAATAAAAACCATTAAATAAAACATTCACTGCAGTACTAACCTCTCCTGTGGGCTTTTCATTTTCTTCCTCTTGGGATGTAGGTGCAATAATTTCTTCTTTAGGTGTATCATGTTCATGTTCTGCATTTTCAGAAGACTTGTGCTTTTTGCTGACTTTCTCTTTACTTTTCTGTACCAAGAGAACAGATAGCCAAGAAATATAAAGCCATCATATTTGTGCAGAACATGATTAAATTCCTCCCAAGCAGTAGGCTAAAGTCCTCAACAAAATTCCTATTTATCAACAGGATGTCCGTATCTGCTGCTTAAGTGGAAGAGATAGAAAAACCCAAGTTTTCAATCAAAAAAAAGTTCACTGTACAGCAGTTTTTGACTTCCAGCCAGCAATTTAGAATGTTAGGCTGTAGTTTTAGTTATTGTTTCACATAATTCATTCATCAACTGACATAGTAACATCATTAATACATGCTTGGTGTTGAACAAAGGTCCTCCATTCTGGTCTCTGCCAACAATGTGCCTGAATTTCAACTTGAAATTAGCATCCTGCCACACCAATGTAACTTGGAAATTAATTATTTCCACTAAAACCAAATGGACAGTTCTTAAGTGCTGCACTAGGGCTAGTTTGAAATATTTCACTGCTCTTTGGTAATCTGATTTTGTTATGTGATGTTATCCAATGTTCAGATCTTGTTTATCCATTACTTAAGATATTGCTCCAGCAAAATAGTCTGTTTTGTCTTAAATTAACCTACCCAAAATAATACTCAAGGACAACAGTTCCATAAACTAATCAAAACGCAAACAGTTCAGTTTACCTTTTTCTCTTTATCTTTCTTTTTGTCTTTTTCTTTCTTTGCTTTCTTAGGTTTTTTGCTTTTATCCTCTACGGAGGCAGCTTCAACTTCTGGCGCTTTCTTTTCAGTTACTCGGTGCGTTCTAACAGGTAATTTTTCATTATCTGTTAAAGGCCTTTAAAATACCATAGAAATAAAACTGTACTGTTCAATGACAATAAAGGTTGAAGGTAATGATAAAGATTTGGGGAAGTTCTGGATTCTAATCACCATTCAATAATTTTAGTTTAATCAAATCACAAGTCAAAAAAATTCTACATTCCATTCACATAACAACCCGGTATACTGACACACATAGACAAATCCAATATAATACTTGCATGTCCACATTCAGAAGAAATCTTGAACCTGCTGAAAACATGTTACTGATCAAGTCTGACCAATATGTAATTTTTTACTGATGAGAATTGAATGTTTTCTTAGTCCACACAGCTTTCCAAGTCTCCATTTATAAGACCAATATAAAATACTTAAATCAGGCAACATAACAATTGGCACAACTTGAATCATTGATCAATTATAAATGGAACATTGATGCTTCTGGGTCTAATTATGAGAAAACATTAGAGAGAAGGCAAGGTAAGATAAAACATTTTAACACCACTGACACGTTTAATAAAAGATCAGATTTCCTGAGAGACTTCGGAACATTATAAAGTTGGATAAGACCAGAAAGCAACAGGCAGCTAGTTAACATACAGTAACTGTGAAAAGCATTTAGAAATTCTGAATGAGGCCAGAATGCTAAGGATGTTTATTAAGCTGGGAAAATCTGAACCTTGTTTTTGTTCTTAAATATGTCCATTTTGCAAAAATGGAGAACTCAATACCATCATACCCATTTCACAAAGAATAAAAAAATTGTAACAAGGAAGTAACAAATTGGACTTAATGAGTAGATGTGACAACAATAAACTGTCCATTTTGTGGTTTTGGGAGATGCGTTTAAAGAAGTAATAATTTCAAACTTTTCACAGTTTTGTCATGTAACTCACTGGTACAATTTTTACCAAACACCAATAAGTGTAGGCAGATTAATCAGGTTTTCATTTAACCCTTTGACTAATGAAATTGCAGGTTTGATTATTTCAGCTATGAGCTGCATGATATCTTCAGATTTTCAAATATTCAGCTTCAACAAACATAACGTTTTAACCATTCATCAAATGTGATTACTGGGTAAATATCAAAGGGTTAAATCTTCAAAAGCACACTCAAACCCATCTCCAAGTCAAGTTTACAAAAGTTCACAAGTAAATTTTAAAAACACAAAGCATTACACTTTACATACCTTCCTTTTTTCATGGGATTTAGGCTTTTGTTGGGACACAAAGATGTTGGTTGTGGAAGCAGTAGAAAGAAAGACAGAAAGAATGGCAGAAAAAAGTTGGAGTGGCATATTAAGTGTGGAAGGAGCGAAAGAGAGAGACAGAAATCACAGAACTCAAAAAACAATTAAAGTGGTGTTCACTTTGGAGCATTTAAAAAACTCAGTACACACTGATGCTAAAACATAGTTGTTAGTATAATACATTTTCCTATTATAGTTACATTTAGAATCAAGTGTTTTCATGGAAAAGTATATGCCCAGTTATGTAACCTTGTTATAATTATGATTTTGTAGAAAGATAGGGGGTAGGACTAATACACTGAAGCTTTGCTTTACGAATATTGTACATGCATGAATTAGCTTCATTCCTGTCCAAAATTACAGCAATACATTCAACAGTATGTATAGTTGAAAACGCACGCATGTAACTTCAGAGAAACATTTCAAGTTTAGTTGAATTATTTGTTGTTTGCAATATGCAACATTATGTAATTTTAAATTACTTTAGTCAAACTGTTAGAACCAGTAAAGGCTCAATAAAAAGCCTTTAAAATCAGTTTAATAGAAATATGCCAATTCATATTATTTGTGCGTTTTGTAATTTCCCATGACCAACATTTGCTCATGACTGGGCTGCCAAAGGAAATGCAGTAAAGGTCAATAGATGGGACCGAAGGAAAACAGACAGGCACAAGATAAAACGAGGGAGGAATGAAAACAAACAAACAAACAAACAACACAGTCAGCTCATGCAGCTCAGTCAACACGAACCCAAACATCTCCAGCAGGGAAACGTGGCCAGCCAAAATTCTGTTACAAAAATTATGAAATGGCAGGGAAAGGAAAAGAAAAAGAAAAACAGCAGATCTAAAGACAGGGGCAGAAGAAATCCAAGAGGGGTGAACTAGGTCTAAAACCAATTATTTCAAACTATTTAAATTTCAAACTCTAAAAGCATGTATAAGATCAATTATTTTTGTTGAAAAATGTGTAAACATAAGGGCAAGACTTAAAATGGTCTGTGAAAGAAACTGGAGTAATTATTAATTAGAATTAACATTAAATTTACTTTTTCTGACACACTGAAGAATAGTGAGCATCACGACTTGAGGATGGCACAGATGTGACCTCGTACTGGTAAAAGAAAGCCTGCAATTACATAGAGCTTCACACAACTGCAGAATATCGCAAAGCACTTTACGGCTAATGAAATGCTTTGGCAATGCAGCAAAGTAGGAAACTTACACATAGCAAACTCCACAATATGGCAACGTGATGAACAGATTATCTGCCTGAATGATGTCTGTTGATGGATACATATTGGTCAAGACACTGGGGGATACCTTCTCTGCTTTTCTTCAAGACATGTGATGGGCTCTTATACAGTCAGCTGAGTGCAAATTTGGCTTTCACATTTCATCTAAAGGTTAGCACCTCCAACACTGCACTACGCCCTAAGCCACAATACCACTGTCACGTGCAGTTTTTTTTTTGCTGAAGTCCTGGAATGAAAATTGAACTCAATTTTTAACTCCGAGGCAAGAGTGCTGATGAACTGAATCTCAGCCGTATAAATCACCCAAAACTGCACCAGAACCAGTAATAATCTCCCTTAAGCAACCTTTGTAAATGCCAGCTGCCAACAGAATAAAGACAAATAGCATAAAAAAACAAATATTTTGACTTTGTGACAAAGTAACGTACACTTACTTATCCAAATCAATATCCAATGCTTTGTATGGATCATTTGGATCTTTATCATCATCATCACTAGGCAATGCATTCTATAAGCAAACAACAAAAAAAAGAAAGTCTGGCAGCAGAGTTCAGAATAAAAGGTTTTATTTCACAATACTATAGCACAAAGAATTACCTGAAGACTGGGGGAAATAAATTTCAGTAGATATAGGTTATCAATGAAAGTTTTCAGAAGTACAAAACATAACTGCTTACCATAATTGTATGTCACTAATGTCCCCCAGCACAATTTCAATTCAATATGAGCATCACTGGATTAGTTAGGGTTCAGTCAAATATTAAGTTGTAACAGAAGCACAAATTCATGTCCGTGTGTAATATGGAAGCAGCCAGATGATAGTGCAATGTAGGGGGACAGAATTCAATGGAAGACATTTTAAAAATGTCATGTCGCTGAAGACTGTGCCAGAGAATTTATTCCCACGTAAGAGTCTGACGCACAACCATGGAATACTATGTTAATTAATTTGACAGCACCTGTGAAAAATCCATTACATTGAGACCTAGAGAATGATATACTAGAATAAAGGCAATAAACCCAACCAGATATTTACAAACTATTTAATGGGAATATTCTTGAGTGCATTAATAGTGGAAGAGAAAAAGCAAAGAGGGCAACCGAGCAAGGAGGAAAGAAGGGACAGATTAGTGTAGTCTGATTTTGACGAAACATTATCTAGAGTAGTGTGGACATACGAGATTTATCTAGGGTTTCTTTAGCATTGCAGTCTTCAGTAACAGAAAATAGAAGCAGGAGTATGCTATTCAGCCTCTCGATCAATATGATCGTGACCAGTCACCTAACTCAGTACCCTGCTCCCACTTTCTCCCTGTACCTCTTATTTTTTTAGCCCCAAGAACTATATCTAACTCCTTCTTGAAAACATTCAATGTTTTGGCCTCAACCACTTTCTGTGGCAGAAAATTCCATAGACTCTTCACTCTCCAAGTGAAGAAATGTCACCCCATCTCAGTCCTAAATGGTCAAGCCCATATCCTCAGACTGTGACCCTAGCTCTGGACTCCCCAGTCTAAGCCTGTTAAAAAAAAAACAAAAAAAAAACGACTGGTTTCAATGAGATCTCCCCCTCATTTTTCTAAACTCCAGTGAATTACATCCTAACTGATCCAGTCTCTCCTCATAAATCAGTCAAGCCAACCAAGCAATCAATTAGTCTCAAACTTCAATTGTATTTCCTTTATCAGACAAGGAGACCAAAAACACGCACAATACTCCAGGTGCGGTCTCACCAAGGTTCTGTACAACTGCAGCAATACATCACTGCTCCTATACTCAAATCCTGTAGCTTTGAAGGCCAAAATACCATTTGCCTTCTTCACTGTCTGCTGCACCTGCATGTTTACTTCCAATTAGTGTACAAGGACACTCAGGTCTAACTGCACCTTGCCGTTTTCCAATGTCTTGCCATTCAGATAACAATTTACATTCCTGTTTTTGTTACTAAAGTGGAAAACCCCACATTTATCCACATCATAGCTCATCTGCCATTTATTTGCCCATGTACTCAACTTGTCCAAATCATACCAAAGCATCTCTGCATCCTCCTCACAGTTCACCCTCCCACTTAGCTATGTCTCGTCTGCAAACTTGGAGATATTACATTTTTAGAACGGACTTCAGAAGGGTAACTGGACTCGAACATTAACTCTGCTTTCTGCCCACAGATGTTACCAGACTTGCTACATTTCTTCAGCAATTTCTGCTTTTGTTTCAGGTCTTCCACATCTGCAGTTGTTCCATTAACTTTTATTTATTCAGTTAGTCTGTAATGTCTTTAATCCTGACTACATCTGTTTCTAACCTGAATTAACACCGTAAGGTACATGCTGACTTAGAAATTATCCCAAAACAAAACAAAATTTTTGATTTTAAGATACTTTCAAGTTGTAAAAACCTTCCTTCAGCTCACTAAATTTAAACAGAGAAGCATACCAACTCATAAGCACAGAAGAGAATGTACACAGAAGTATGAGAAAAAGTATTTCACAATCATGTGATAAGGAGAATCAGAGCACAAATATAAAAACAAATGCATATGTGACAGAGTGCATTTATGACAGCACCACGTGAGTACAATTTGAGATTTAGTAATGCAAGAAAGCAAACACAATGAAAGATCAAGGTCCAAAAGAATGACATCAACAGCATTCAGGATAGAGGAAAGGGAAATAAAAGACTTGCCTTGATACATCATTTTCTGATAAATCTGCCAAAATCCTACACAAAAAAAACTTTCATGTGCAGTGATTCAAGCAGACAGCTAATCTGTACTCATTAAGATTTACTTTTAGGAATCATTGAGAGTTTCGGATTTGAGAAATGAATTGTACAGTGGTCACGTTGCCCAAATAGCACTCAAACAATCACAATCAACCGCTTATGGAAACACCTGAATTCTTTGAAGACTTAGATGTGATCTTGCATATTAGCTTGACAGAGGCTGCTTTGGTTAGGATCTCATCCAAAGATAAAATAGTGCAATAATTTTTCAAAACTGCACTAACTTGGTCCATAATACAAAATATTGCCAGTGAAAATCAGTTAACATTAATCATATTGCGTGCAATGTCAAATAACATGTTGATATTAAGAGAAATCCCGTGTGATCTTTTATGAGCATGCAAATTGCTTTAAGTGGAAGTTTTGAAGGCCTATCTATTGCCTAGACTGTCCTTTTTCTTTTCCCCAATTGTGTCCCATCAATTGCCCATTATCTAAATATACTTGCTGTTAACTTTTCAGTACGACAAAAATGAACCTTTAACTACTAACCTCAGGCATTTCTTCTGTGATAATGTCAACGTGATGAACTGGAGTAATGTCTTCATCACTTTCAGTATGAAGTGAATCATGGCGACGTTTGCCTTTGTCTTTCTTCTGTTTTTTCTTCTTTTTCTGTCTGTCCTGTTTTTGCTGTTGCCTGCGTTCTTCTTCCAGCTTAAGATACTGATCTGACAAAGGCATTCCTGTGTGCATAAATATAACAGATGGTTGCACCTGAGCTACCTACACATGACTGTAGCTGTTTCAAGAATCTCAGGAAAAAGGGAGACTGCATGACTCCCTTTCCACCATTTCCACTTTAAAGTATTTTGCACACACATTCATTCAAGTTCTGACCTTGACTCAGCCACCACAAAGATCGAAAAAATTGACCTCGGCAATGAGCCAATTTCCCAAAATAGAAACTGCCAGCCCTAAGGCACCCTTCAGAAATGGAAGAAGGGTCCAGACCCGAAACGTCAGCTTTCCTGCTCCTCTGATGCTGCTTGGCCTGCTGTGCTCATCCAGCTCTACACCTTGTTATCTCAGACTCCAGCATCAGCAGTTCCTACTATCTCTGCTAATTTATCCCTTTGCTTCATTGCTGCCACCATCAAGAACCATTGCGATCTCACACATGAACTTGGTCCCAGACAGTTCTGACTTCCCCACCCACAGAAGATGCATAATGGTACTTATGACAGATGAAAAACAGCATTCCTCCCTGCTAAATAAATTTAGTTAATATATCAGCAATGTCAGATCAATGACCATATATTGTGGAAATGTGGACCTAGGGGAAAGCAACTTCACTGAAATTTTCTCATT